TGTAGCCAGCAGCCAGCGTGAGCGGCCAGCAGCCGCAGTGAGCAGCCGTCCAGAAGCCAGTGACTGATCTGCCTCGCCCGGGAAGAGTGCAATGATGGTGCCAACTTCAGCCAGTGAAGCAACGTCCTCCACAACTAGACTGAAGAACAAAATGGCAGCAACTTGTCTGTTCCCATCCCCCCAATTTCCCCATAAAATTCTTTAAAAAACAAACAAAAAAAAGTGTTTTTGTACTACTTATTTAAATCTCTCAAAAGCTCTTTGGATGACTAATATCTCTATTTAACTGCTAACTAGACTCTGCTCATAGAGGTTTAGTGACACTCAATATTAGACAGGTAGCAAGAGACAGAACTAAAACTCAGGTCTTCTGACTCGAGGTTGAATGTTTTTGTCACTGCACTATAACGTAGCAAAGCAAAATTTATATATTTACCCTTGATACAAACTAAATGTTTATTTTTAGCTCAGACGATCAAAGGATCAATAAGAAACCCAGGAAATGAATCAGAAGAGTACGGACAAACATTGACATCTCAGCTCATGAACAATGTGGAGGATTATGGGTAAAAACAATTGATTGAATGTCTTTTTGGTGAAAATGTCACATGAACATTATTGCAATTATTGGGGTTCATGGAGATAAACAATGTGGATATCAGTGAGCTAGCCAGAAATAGGGGAGTTGGTACCCATACAAAGCAGTTGATTCTTCCTTCATTTCAATGCAAGCACAAATACTGTACATCTAGGAAACACTTGCCATGTTGATATAATTTTAAATTGTCAAGTTTTTTTGGAATCCATTCATGGAGTGCATTAAATCGGCTGTTTTGCTTTGGGAGATATAATTTTATGTGTTATACTGCTCTACTGAAATGTCATACCGCATTTCTCAGCAGTCTTTATTGGCTAATAATTCAATTATAAACACCATTCATTATTTTCATGTTAGATTAGAAAGCCTTTTGCTCTGGCTTGAGCTATCTCCCCAGAGCAAATGGGGCAGTTTCTAAAAGGCCAAACACAAGGTGGAGCACTGAGAGTATAAAGCATCATGTAAAATTTAAACATATTAAGTGGAAATCTGCCTCACAGAAAGTTGCTTATCTGCAGCTCCTGGCAGGCAGCTCAACTTCCAAGATAAAGGTTGGTGTTTGGCGGCTGGGAGGGGCTCATGCATTTTCTTTTTCTCTACTTCTTCACCCCTTTTTATAATTTATTGTCTTCAGTGCATTTCCTTTCCTCAGTTTTTTTTCCCTTCTCCCACCATGAGCAGAGGTTACTCTAATTCTGCGAGTCCTTTGAGTCCTTTCATGGACCCTGGCCTGCTCTTTTCCAGGCTCAGCTGAAATCACTTGCTTCCATTTATTTCCTTTCATATTACATGATCTTTATAAAAGGGGTTATAAGAAGTCAGGAGGCATATACAGGATAAATTCCCTACTAATGGATAGCATCAGAAATGGGCAGATAAGGAGCACTCACCTGTATGGGCAGAAGAAATTTTTGCCAATATTAACAAAATTTCTTCTAATCAATCAGTTCAATGGTCTCCCCCTGCATTTTAAATATCTGAACATTTATTCATTATTATGGTACTTTACTGATATGCATGGAAAATGAAATTGCTCCTGTTAATAGTCACTTGGCATTGAATTTCAGATTCTAAACCAAAAGTACCCTCTACCAAGTATCACGATTCTAAAGCTATCTGGTTCAGCAAATCCTGACAAAGTCTTAATTTACTATCAAGACCAGATGCCTCAATATTTTTATTTCATTCTAAGTATATTCAGTTCATTTCTTATTTGTTCATGTATACCCAATTTTAAAAGTACATGAAACCATGTAAAAGCATTTCTGGTGCGATTTTGATAATTATATGACAGTTTGTTTTATCTAGAATAATGATTTCTTGAAAGCCCTATAGGCTGTTATATAAATAAGTTAAATACTTTGTAAGAAGAGAAGTTAATTTTTTAATATTTGGTATGATGTTATAATTATAACTAAAAGAAAATTTGACTAACAGAAAAGTTAGTCAAATTGCTAACTTAAAAAAGACATTAATCCTCTAGTGTCAGTGGATTATTTTTGTTTACTGGAGTCATCCATTTTTTAAAAAAAGCATTCAATCCTTTTCTTTAAAAAACAGTAAATATAAGAAATAGAATCAGGGGGCCGGCCAAGTGGCTCAGTTGGTTAAGAGCTCACTCAAGAGTTTCAGCTCTGAGCAACAGTGGTTCGAGTCCCGGCCGGAGCTGAGCAGCCACTGAGCTACCAACAGGTAGCAGGATGGCTCAGCTTAAAAAAAAAGAAAAAAAAAAGAAACAGAATCAAAATTATCTGACAGTGCTTTTTAAAACAATTACGTTTTCCTTTCTATTATAAGTAGTCACTGTGTGTCACCATTTTTTTCTATTTACCCCTCTCTTCATTCAACATTGTCTAAACACTGCGATCCCCTTCCTCAATTGATTTCCACAATGTCCTCTCAGAAAAAGGTAAGTCAGAACTCAGTGACAAGTTGCCTCAAAGCACCTTAATATTTCCTTAATAACGCAACCAAAATGACAATGGGATGATGTACTGAAAAGAGTGCTACACTGGGACCTTTAAAATCTTGCTCCAGTCACTAGTAAGCCTAATAAACTTGACCTCAGTTTCTTCATTCATAAAGTAAAAAGTTTTGTATTATCTCCAACATGCCCAAATCTATAAAATGCTAAGTATAAAAAAATAGCTGACAGGGCCAGCCAAGTGGCTCAGTTGGTTAAGAGCTTGCCGAAGAGTGCAAGCTCTGAGCAACAGGGTCACCAGTTCAATTCCTGGCCTGAGCTGAGCTGCTGCTGAGCTGCCAACAGGTGGCAGGATGGCTCAGCTAATAAATAAATAAATAAATAAATAAATAAATAAATAAATAAATAAATGTCTTAAAGAGAAATCATTAACATATTAAGTTAAATCAATGTTGCTGCAATACAGTAAAACTAAAAATTAGTTAATAAAACAATTCCTTGACTTTCAGGATCAGGTATTCTTAATCAGTCACTGTTACTATGTCAGTGTTTATTTAAATGCTGTTTATTTGGTAATTATTAGAATACTTTGAAAATAGATTTGACAGTCATGAAATATTTATTTTTATGTATTAAAATATGATTTCTGTTACTTTTAAAATCAAGTTAGAGTCCTCCAAGACCTAAAGTTGCTCTAGTTGTCCTTTTGAAAGGTAAATGGTATGTCTGAAACCCCTACAACTTACTTCCTATAATAAGAGTGTCCTTTTTGTATATGTAACACATCTTCTTTGTCTAATCATTTACCAAAGAACATTTTAGTTGTTTCCATGTCTTGGTCACTGTAAATAAAGCTGCAATGAACATTGGAGCACATATATTCCACCATAAGAAAAGATGAAATAGTGTCATTTGCAGCAACATAATAATCTTTAGATTATAAGCAAAATAAGTCAGACAGAAAAAGTTGGGAACCATATGATTTCACTGATATGCGGGATAGAAAACTGAAAACAACAAAGGAACAAGACAAACAAATAAAGGAACAAAAACTTATAGACAATAGTTTAGTGGTTACCAGAGGGTAAGGGGGGAGGGAGATGGTAGATGAGGGTAAAGGGAGTTAAATATATGGTGATGGAAGGAGAACTGACTCTGGGTGATGAGCACACAATGTGATAGATGATGTATACAGAATTGTACACTTGAAACCTATGTAATATTACTAACTGTTGTCACCCCCTATAAATTTTAATTAAAAAAAAAGAAAGAATGAAAAAAAGAGTGTCCTGAAAGAATCACCATGGCTTTCAGAACAGCCTAATTTTCACCAATAAAACTCTTGAACTTTTCTTGTATTTATCAGCTCTATATTAATATATACATATCAAAATTATATTCTGTATTATTGCTATAACAGATATATTCTACTTGCATTGTGATTTTTCTACTTAAAGATACTATCTTTACTTTGAAAAGGTAAAAGTATCATGATCTTTGTTAACTGCAATACTGAGCAGGTTGCTCCCCTTGACCATGAGACAGAGTAAGTTCTTGATAAGCCTTATTCTAAACTAGGCTATTTCTAGGAAATTAGGCAAGCTCTAAGCCATCCTCCAAAAATCTTTACTTGATCTGGGATCCCGAAAACTTCCAAATGAAACTGGGAAAACAGGTTTCACTCACAAGAAATGTTCCAGATTCTTATAATTTACAATACAAAGACCATTGGTGCAGAGTGGGTTGCCAGAAGCTTAAAATCTGGAACCAATAGTAATAAAAATACATGACAATTGAATTTGCAACTTGCTATGGCACAGCAGGCTGTTATTATTATTGTTAGTGCTGGAAAAAGAATTCAAACTCTGATTGCCTTCAAATATTGGAAAGGAATGTCTCTGATCAATTTCCTCAGAAATACTCTTTTAAATTTTTTTTTCCTCCATTGAACCCATGCCCTCTTTTGAGTAATATAAGACTCCTTTTTTCCCTCCTCAAATTAACATATATACAAGAGGAAACTAACACTTATCAGTCGATTCATTTTTGTTATACACTACAAATAAGGCATAAAGAAACAGAATCTTAGTCAAGTTCCTCCAAGATAATAAACTGTACTTCACTGTCATTGTTTAACAACTTGGAAAATAAAAAATGTTTTAAACATGGAAATGAACTTATCAATAATAAATGTCATTTAATAAAGACAAACTGTGTAATATATTCATGCTTGCCTAGCTAAAAAGAAAAATAGATAGGAACAATTTATTGATGAAATGAACTAATACAAAAAAATATATAAATTACCCTTGCCTTTAGAACTGAGATTATAAATTTTTTTCATAGTCAACTAAGGTGTGATTAACATTTAAGTACAAAGGTTATTTAACATTTAAACACAAAGGTTTCTCCATGAGTTACTTTGGATTTATAGGATCCCTCTTACCAGCATTTCTTTTGAAGCTGTGTTTTATGACAGATGAGATGCTCAAGCACCTTATTCAACTGAGGACTATTCTTCTGAACACAGGTCCAGGCAGCAACACAGTGCCACAGCAGGTGGTTAATTTCATATCCTTCCTGATTAAATTGTGAATGTTCCTGGAATTAAAATATAAAAATATATCTGAGAAAGAGTTCTTTGACTTGAATAAACATAAAAATAAACTTTAAATATACAAATGAAAATGCATATTTTCTTACAGTTCATATTGCACCAACTGGAGCAATGTACTCAAATATATTCTTGTAAGTATATATACTTTGTAAGTTAACTCGAACTTGAGGTCTTAATATAGTTTCACATAGGAACCTGATGTTCAAAGACTTCAGTTCTACAATACGACAAAATTCTGTATTCCTTAAGGTATAACTGCTGGACACAATTATGCTCTGCAGGCTCCTAGTTCTCCATGACACCAAAGGAGGAGGGGACAGAGGAAAGTCTGAATAATGATCAAACAGCAAATTAGGTTTTAAAATGTGGTTCCACTTTAAGGACCAAAATACATGCCTAGCTGTATTTTAAAATCTTATAAATTCAGAACACAAATGGTCTGTTATATTAGATCGTTTTTCTTAGAGTTAACAGTTTTATAGATTTAATCGGTCTACTAAAGTAATTGGTATAAAGGGACCTGATATTACTGTTAGACAATGATAAGATTTCATTTTCATTGAATTTTTGTCAAGAGTAAAGATTCAAATACACATCCTAAGGTATATACTCAGATTGCTAACTTAGCTGATGTTGTACTCTTTTATTCTCAAAAGAAACACTGAAAGAGGTTCCAAAGGACTTTATAATTCTCATTTCTTATATAGAACAACATCAAGACTACAATTTACAGATAATTTTCATGTTGAGTACTCTTAAGATAGAAGGCCAGGAGTTCGTAATGAATTTTAAACTAAGACATTTTAAGTTTCTAGTAAACCATTTAGTTAAGTCCCACAGATGTTATCAATCTACTTTCTGTCAGGAACTCAAACACTGGAGATAAAGACATGAGTTAAGATAAAGTCTTTGCACAAGGCTATGGGCTCTGGGGAACAATGATTTAGAAAAACAAACGGAAACAAGTCATTATTTAGAATGTTAGAATATTCCATAGAAAAGTTTTATTCTAAAATAATGTAAGATATCAGACTGAGATGTACTGACATCAATAAATGCAAATATTCTCTCCAAATAACTCAATTTTCTGCTTCATGGTTGAGCCCACCCCCAAAAAATGTAATCCATAAAAAATGAAATTCTTGGGCCGGCCGAGTGGCACATTGGTTAGGAGTTGGCTTGGGACGCCAGCTCTGGGCAGCAGAGCCCCGGTTCAGATCCCACATATGAGGGCCAGTGACACTGCGCCCTCTGCAGCTGAGATGGTGAGCAACAGCTTGGCCTGGAGCTGGGCTGCAGTGAGTCACCAGCGATGGTGTACGCTGCAGTGAGGCTGGCCGGCAGCGGGCGTGAGCTGCCTTGAGCCACCATGAGCAACCATCTGATGGCCGGTGAGCGACTGCCTCACCCGGGAAGAGCGCAATGATGGTGCCAACATGGGCCAGTGAAGTGACATCCTCCACAACTAGACTGAGGAGCAAAAGGACAGCAACTTGTCTGTTCCCCTTCCCCAGTTCCCCAATAAAATCTTTAAGAAAAAAAAAAATGAAATTCTTTTCTCAAATTGCTCTGGATGCCTGACAGCCCTCATGTTGCAAACTTATTCAAAAGATATATATAAGTAGAGATATTATGAAACTTGTGGTTGACTTGACTAATTAATTTAAAACAATCAACACTTTTTTTTAATAGTGTACATTGCATGGCTACATAGACTACTCAGCAGTTAGGTCAGATATTCCTGTTAACAAACTTATGTACCATCACCAGAGAAAATTCCCAAAAGCATTCAGTAAAGAAAAGGTCAAGATTTGAACGATGAACAAGATTGAAGTTTTATTTTCCGTTTTATATGATGCCATTTTTACTCATCATTGAGAAAGAAAAGAAGCAGCGTCAGGTGTCTGGAACTGATTTGACATCAATATTATTACAAGCTGCTCTGACACTCACAACCAGGTCATTTTGTTCTTCTGTTGGATATAAACTCACAGAATATCAACCTCTGACACCGTTCCTCTGAGACCACGATAAATAACAAATTAAGCCACGTGATAATTTTGTCAAAGCACAGGCAAAAGTCACTGCGTCACCTACAAAATACCCAATCACAGAATTGCTCTTACTTTCTGGCAGTATCAAATCTAGAGAGAATCCCTGTCTATTACAGTCCAAATCCAATGAGAAATGCTTTCTTACATCCTCAGATGGAGATATCCCCCAGCGCCTTGGGCGCATGTTCACTCTCTGCAACAAATACTAAGCCCACTTTGTTTAACTGCACATGTATTTCTGGTGGCCTTTGGCAATGGGCATTGGCATCAAGGGCAAATGAACCTGCCACACCTGTGAATGGTTCCAGGTTAAGTGAGGTTTATCACTTATCTTCATGCATTTTATACATTTCAAGCATTTGCATGGACATTTTGGTAAAGTTTCTTCCCTGCTTTTTCTCAAAAGAAAAAAATATATTTACCAAACTTGAATGAATTAACAGAATAATGATGATTATGTGATTTAATACAATCATCATGTACCACATCAGCATAACAGACCAAAGCTATTAGGTGGTATAGAGTTCTTTGCCTTTACACTAAATGAGTCTCACTCAAGGTGTGGTTGGCAGATAAGTGCCATCTGCAAACTGCTAACTAGAATGGAAATAAAAAATACATATTGAGAAACTTTTATAACAATTTGGCAGGGTTAATTTGATATATTTTCAGAGTAATAACAAAAAAAATTAATGCTTGCATTTTTATGTTTTGTTTTCAGTAATTCATTATTATTGTAGTTACCAAATTGTAGATTACAACAATCTGTGACAGTTTGGAAATTAAAAAAAAAAAAAAGAGGGATCTTTTTACCACAAGATAGTTTGAAAAGCACAGAGGACTGCATTAAATGACTCCCGGAGAACATTTTCTTTTTTTCCTTTTCCTTCCTTCCCTCCCTCCTTTTTCCCTCCCTCACTCCCTCCCTCCATTTCTTCCTTCTTTCCCTCCTTCTGCATTCCATTCTTCCTATTTTTTGTCTTTATGACCACTTCCCATAGTTCTTTCATCTCTCACCTTGCTGTCCTGTCCAGCTTTGGGCTATGTTGGTTTGAAAACTCGCCCCCAGTACATGGAGGGCACGAGAGACCTAAGAAAGAGGCAGACCACTCCTGATTGGTAGGTAGGCTTCATATGCAAGGAAACTCACTTATGAGGCTTGTCTTCAATGGCCAGAAGGATAGATCTCCGCACCCGCCTGACAGAATCTTCATTTATATAGACGCCTTAACTGGGTCAGCCACCTATACCATTCAGATGGTCTCAACAACACGTTGCTCTCTCTATGTGTGTCCTTTAAAATTGGCTCCCACTGCGGCAATGGTGAGGAGAATAAACATTCCAAGGATAGAGGAGGGGCTGAGAAGGCTCCAATTGCCTGGGGCCAGCTGGAAGGTCAACTCTCGGTCACATCCTCAAGATTACCTCCTCCAACAAGTTCTCTGTGCCAGCTTGCAGGATGCCTACTTTGAGAAGCCTACTTTCAAGAGTGTTGTTAATCTTCTGTTGGCTGAGAATTCAGATAACTACATCAAGCTTGAATTTTATGCAAATGAGTACACACGCTCTGAGAGTCTGTCCAAGGTCTTTTATAACAGAAGTGAGCTTTAAAGCATGGGGCTGTGTTTTGGTTGCTCAGAGACAGGGTTTTGACTTTCATTCTTGTTTTTAGTCATTTTCGGGATGGTTGACATTGCCATGAAAGGACTTCTCAATACAAAGGTGTTACTTGGATAATAGGACATGAAGCACAGGATAATGCTCCTGATCTTAAAGAACCTGTGTCTCAGTCTAATTCAGTTCCTAGTAACCATTTACAATTACTGTACAGCACACAGTGTCCCAAATTTAGATAATGCCTTTGGTTTACTGAGTACTTAAAGCATTAGAGGATGAGATTGCTAATCACATTTGAATGTAAACTCTGTGTTTCCCAGTTTTCAGCAAAGCATTTGTACTTTAGGACAGCCGCAGCTATTCTCTACAGGGTCTATAGCATTTTAGTTGAGTTTGAATTTACCTTCTCCAAAGAACTCTGTTATTATCATACGACAAGTGTGCTTAGCAAATTCAGTTTTGCTAGTGAGCACAGAACAGAGTGGAAAACTCAACCCAGTGGTCTGGCTCTGCAACACAGAGCTAATTAAAGTGTACCATTTGTCAAAGTCAATGAAAACCCTCTGTCTGACTCAGCTTAAAAGGATATTAGAAGGAGAAATGGGTTCCAGAAACAGACAAAGGAAATGTCCCATTCTTAAATAGAACCAGCACCCATTTTTGTATGTATCTTAATGTGTATATCCTACAGAATTCTTTTTATTTTCAGCAATTTTATAGCAATACTTTGAAAACAAGTTAAATAAGTATCTGTATGCTCCAATGTTTATAAATATATTAAAAATAAAATATTTTACAGTGGCCAAAATATGTCATGGACCTTTTAGCATTATTGAAGGGTAAAGGCTGTAGGAATAAATTCACAAATCATCTACAATAGCATACCAATAATAAAGAAGGGAGAGAGAATGAATACAAATGTATCTTTTATATTTTCATCTCTGTCTTTTTTCTCCTTTTTTCCCCCCAGAAGGTGAGAGAGGAAAGTATTGAATGGATAAATACTCAACTAAACTGGAGAGGCTGGCTGAGATTAACACTGGAGAAATTGGGCTGAAAATGGCAGCAACATTTAAACATGTAATCAAGCACTGAACCAGCTAGTTCGGCCAGCCATTTTATAAGCATGGCAGCTACACTACCTTTTATGTTCTTTATATTATGAGCTAGTGGGAGGACAAAAAGAGCAATAAATCTGATAGACTAAAATCCGTTATAATCCCTTCACAGAATCACATGTATAGAGCTGACATAGAATTTAGAAAAGATTGAAACTATGCCCTTATTTCTAAAAAGTGGAAAAAGGCACAGAAACTTAGTGACTTTTCCCACCCTGAGGAGATACATTCTTTTCACCTGTTGACATTTTCGCTCCTTCCAGTTTAAGCCAAGTTGTATAGCCGTAAGCTTCCATTTCCTTGCTGTATTTGTACAAGGTCAGACAATTAAGTTCGGGAACTTATTGCAACAATGTTGCTAACCTTTTTTTAATATCAGAGGGATTACTCATTATGAATATGCACCAACTGGACAAACAGTTAACCAAGTTTACTATTTGGAAGTGCTGAAAAGGCTGCATGAAAAAGTTAGACAACCTGAACTTTTCGCCAATTCATGGCTCTTGGCCTCACGACAATGCACCACCTCACACAGCACTGCCTGTGAGGGATTTTTTTAGGCAGTAAACAAACAACTGTATTGGAACACCCTCCCTACTCACCTGATCTGGCCCCCAAAGACTTCTTTCTTTACCCTAAAATAAAGGAAATATTGAAAGGGAGACGTTTTTACGACATTCAGGACATCAAAGGTAATACGACAACAGCTCTGATGGCCATTCCAGAAAAAGAGTTCCAAAATTGCTTTGAAGGGTGGACTAGGAGCTGGCATCAGTGCATAGCTTCCCAAGGGGAGTACTTCAAAGGTGACCATAGTGATATTCAGCAATGAGATATGTACCACTTTTTCTAGGATGAGTTCACAAACTTAATTGTCAGACCTCATACACCAAGCATGACAAAAAGATTGATTCTTAAAGAGAAGCAGAATCAACATTGAAGGTTGCCAGCCTCATAACCAGACACTCATGTCATGAAGATTTCACAGTATCTTAGTTGTTTAAAGGAAAAACACTCAAACCACTATATTAACTTAAGCACAATTAACTACATAGTTTTGAACAATCATGTAGTCAGCATAATCATGTCCTTAGATGAAAATTATTGTATTTAACTGCCTAAGTAAAAGTGAGTTCCTAAATATATTTTCCAACATCCATTATTTACATCTGCATGGCATTTAATAATTTACAAGGCACATGCTTTTATTGCAATCTTCACAACAACCCTGCAGATTAGTTAGGGCAAAAATGACAATGATGATGATGATGATGATGATGTTGATGATGATGACCAATATGGTGACGTCTTTTTGGGGGGAAGGTCAGTAATGCAAAATCAGCTTTACTTCATAAATAACATGTCTCAAAAGTAAAGTTTATATTAAGCAACTCAGAAAAAGTTAAGAACGCTGCATATATCATGTTTTAAATATAGTTGGTACACAATATTATATATTAGTTATATTAGTTTCAGGTGCACCATGTAGTGATTTAACATTTTTATACCTTACAATGTGAGGTGATGCCTTTTTTAAAGATACGCAAACGGGGATTTGAAGGTTTAACGGATCTCCCCCGGATCACAAGGCCCGTTGGTGAGCAGGTCTTCCCTCTTCATGATTAATGCTCTTTCTGTTGCTCAGTATCTTAGATTATATATTTATTGTTAAAACATTTTTAAACTTAAAAGCAAGATCCCTTTTATGCATGAATCAATTTGTGTTCATTAATAATTATAACCAACAGGTTCATCACTCTTTATATAAATGGTTCACCAAGGAATGAGTCAAAGAGAAAACACTAACACCTAGAAAGATTAAAAACAGATATGGTTAAATGTTTTTCCTTATATACTTACATTTTAGTTTTAGAAAGGTCCCAAAGGAAGCATGGGAAAACTATGAGGCAACTCAGATAAAACTCTTTAAAGAGAATCTTCCTTAAATTTCCTTAGTTGTTTCAACTTGCATTATGTTAAACATATTTTTTTCCTTTTTAAAAATTATCGGAAAAACAAATTTTCTCTTTATAAACTATGAAATAATAAATATATGACAAAAAATAAAAGAATCAAAGTTTCAAAGAGTTCACTGCTGTCTTTTGGAATATAGGTAAGAAAAGGAAATAAAGCATTATGAACCCCACAGATTAAAGCTTGTCTTTTGAAGTACATCAGCCTATAAGGTATATGAACAAATTATATGGCTCACTGTATCTCTGTTTGCATAATATATTTGCATAATAGTTTATTCCATACCAATTATATAATTGAGGCAGCGAGTTTTTTCTAATATTAATCACTAATACCTGAGTTAGAAATAAAAAGATTTTTCATATATAAGGGATTATTTTAATTCCTCGATTTTGAAACATTTAAATTTTTTCAGTGATTTTAATAGCATGTTAAATGTTACTATGCATGAATTATGGAAGCATAAAAATATTACACTTGCTCTCATTAATAGCCTGCACTTTGCATACTTTCTGTTCAATAAAAATGTAATATCTTAAAATGTTCATTTATAAGTCAAACTAAATTATGTTGTAATTTTCAATTAAATAGCTGAGATGGACTCTATAAGGAAGAAGGTTTTATGGCATTACTCTATTTAAAATAGTAGTCGTACATATTAATGCCTACTACTAATCCTATTAATCCAGGAAATGTGCATATGGTTGCATGAATTTAGTGTTTGCTGTTCACTCCTGCAGCTCAGCTGATCTTCAGCAATGTTCACTGAATTGGTAAGCACGATTATTTAATCATAGTAATCTTATCTGACTCATCATGCATTAGGATAGACTCACCATATCCGAATCTATGTTCTCATGTCGTCTCTTGTTTTCCACAGGGCTAAAAATTGATCCCGATAATAATTCTCTTTTGCATATAATTTCCATGGTTTTCAGAACAAATTGCACATTTGAAAAGATATTTGGATACGTGTAATATGATTCTCCAGAGAAAGAAAGTGCTATTGTAAGAATAAAAATTTGTGAGAAATATTTCATTAATATCTTGCATAGTATTCCATTTGTCTTTTAGTTATTAAAATATAATTAAATTCAGTACTTCGACGCTGAAGCTGCTGTACGTTTCCCCCATCTAGTCAAGATTTATAATGCTAGGTGTGACCCCTGGTGGTGTAATAGGAAACTACAAGGTGAATAATTAATAGATAAGGGTTTATATAATTCAGAACAGCAATTCCATAATCACCGAATGCCCAGTTAAGTATAGTTACTGCACAACAATGCTCGGAAACTTTCATCTGAAAATAAATAAAGGTATAATAGATACTATACGGGTACTTTAAAATTGTAACCCTACAAACAAGTCATTGCTTTTAACCCAACATTCTCCATTTTTATTCCTTTTCAAACTGTTATTAATTTTTAAGAGTATATATTTAAAATATAGCAACAATTATGTCATTTAACATAAGACTATGCAATATTTAACAGAACCATCTTTGTGATGTTCTTTTCACAAACTTTTAGACAATCTTTGAGTTTTAGTCTAGTGACACAGTGGAAAAATTAGTAATAACCAATATTCTACTGGATGGCTATATGGATAAGTAGCAGCAGCTAATAGCTTAGGCAGGAATCAGTCTGTTGCTGAAGAGAGAGATGTAGCTTAAGTAAGGCTCTACTTAACAGCATCTGATAAAAGGGAAAAAACTGGGGATTTAATCCTTATATGAAACAAAGGTGTGAGCTTTCTTGGGATACGTGTATATCCACAATAACAGGCTAGTGTGAGAACTTCAGGTTTTATTCAAATAATTTTTCAAAATTTATTTGCCACCATCATCTGAATATTGGATGTGTCACTCTGCCAAACACTGTGAGGAGTTTAAGAAGGGATTGGTAATGTAACGACAAAGCTAAAGAAATGATATGATAAACAAGAATTCCTGTTCTGCCAGTCGGCAGCCTTGTCTTGGCTTCACGCCCTGTCAATACTTGCAGTGATGCATATTGGTCAGTCTCCAAAACACTCCCACGATCACCTTCTATTCCTTTCTCCATGACTTTTTCTATCAAATACTATCCCCTTTCTTGTATCTTGAGTCTCTTCATCTCTTATCCTATAAGATACTACTTGTCTATACTTTGGACCTTGTTTTTCCATCCCAACTATTATTTCTCCTTCCCTTTATAGTTAAGCTGTTTTAAATAGCTCACCATCTTTGTCTTACGCTTAAACTTTCCCTTCACTCTTTGTTTATGTTCGATTTGAATTGTGCTTTCACCTCTCCACTTAGGATGCTCCGAAGTTCAACAGTGACCTTCCGATTGCACAAACTCATTACTTTCAGACCTCCTGCTATTTAATACTTCTACCGTTCCTGATAATGTTGATCTTGAACCTCGCCTCTTCGGATTTTTGTCATCACTTCCTCCTATTTCCCTTAATTTTCCTTTACTGATGTCTGTTCCTATAATCTAGTAAATGTTTATTTTCCCCAAGACTCTATTCCTAGAATTAATTTATACCCACCACCACCTCCCCTCCCCTCCATCCAGATTATCTCAGCCATATTAACATAGACGACTATCAAATCATTCATGTTAATATCCATGAAATAAGTGAATCCCAGGCTTCCTTTATGTCCATAGTTCCAAACCTATGTTGCCAACTGCTTGCTGAGCATCTGTACCTGAGCAAACTTCAAAACCAATATGGCCAACGTTTCTCCAAACTTTTCTCAGTTTAGAGCACCATTATCTTGACACTATTAGTCAATATGTAAAACTTAAGATTCCTCCTGGATTCTTCACTTTCCTTATGTAGACTAGATCCAGCTGACAACCAAGTCCAGTGTCTTTTTTGCCCTAAACACTTATCCGAACTATTCTATTCTAGTCTCATTTTAATAGTTCATATATTTCACATCTCTTGCCTATACAAATGGCATAGCTAACTGAACCCCCTCCTTACTCCAGTCCAGCATCTCCATGCTGTTATCATTACCTTACTAAAATATGAATTTCACTCTCTTAAATCCAGAGAGGTAGGTACTATTACAGATGAGAGTCAGGCAAGGCCCTAAATTTAGTTAAGTAGGAAACTTAAAAGTAAAACCCATGGCAATCTGGTTCAGAAGCTGTGCTCTTCAATTCTGCGCCTATTACCTTTCATGAAAAATAAAATACAGCTTATGCTCTTTATAGTGATAGTCTGAGCTTCTCAAACTATAACATATAACATTTATAAGTGTAGAAAACAAAAGATAGCCTACCGTATAAATACGGTTGAAGCCTAAGTAAATGTTGTTTAAAACTTTCTAGGTGACCATGCAGGAAATATATAAAAAGTCGTAAGAAGACCAAATAGCAAATCTGTCAAAAGAGAAAGAGGAAAAGCGTTTTTATGTCGCATCAATAA